ATGAAAATTAATAAAATATAATTATAGAAAGAAAAAAAAAGAAAAGGTATGGAGATAGGATATTATTATTATTATTAAACATTTACAAAAGAAGTTTAATCAAAAAGACCAAATGCCATGTCATCATCAGACTCTTCTGTTTCTTCTTTCTTTTCTTCTACTTTCTTCTCAGCTGGAGCAGTAGCAGTGGAGGGGGCAGGCCTTCCAGCTGCTGCCACATTGCAGATGAAGTTCCCAATGTTTACATTTTCCGGGGCCTTTGCAAACAGGCCAGGCCAGAAAGATTCAACATTGACAGTGACGGCCTTATTGATTTTCTTCTCTGTGACGAGTCAGGCAAGCTCAGAGACGGAGGCCGTAGTGCAGTGGTAATAGACTGAAGGCTGCCGGATGTGGTGCTATTAGCAGGATGAAGTGAGGGCCTCACTCCAGTGCAGCCATTGCTTCCTCAAAAGAACCGATCACCTTAGCTGCAACTGAGGAGGAGACAGACCTATTTGTTCTCTTGATGGTCCATGGTATGTAAAAGACTCTTCTCTAGCACCACAACTCAAAGACATCAACCCTTTTTCTGTCATCCCTAGCCATTGTCCCACTCTCTTTGCAAGTAATTGCAAAGACCATGGCCTGGATCCTTGCACCTTAGTTTCTATATTAACCTCTTTGTGCTTTAGCATTTTGGAGAGATCCTCAACCGCAGCAGACTTCCCAGTGGTGAGGATCTTTGCCTTTTTGGCATTGAGCTTCAATCCATATTACAGGCTACGGTCCTCAACCTTCTGCAGCAAACACTTCAGATCCTCCTCAGTTTCAGCAACCAAGGTTGAATCATCTTAATAACACAGGTTGTTGATGAGCCTTCCTCCAATCCTGATGCTATACTCCTCCTTATAAAGTCCACCCTTCAGAATTATCTGTTCTGCATACAAATTTAAAAGGTATGGAGACAGGATGCATCCCTGATGCACTCCCTTCCTGATTTTGAACCATTTAGTGTTTCCTTGATCTGTTCTCATGACTGCCTTCTGATACAAGTATATGCTTTGCATGAGCACAATCAAGTATTCTGGGATTCTCATTCTTCTCAAGGTTAGCCACAGGTTGCTGCGATCTACACAGTCAAATGTCTTTGCATAGTCAATGAAACACAGTGACCTAGTATTAAGAAGTGGCACTGCAATCCCAAAGGCACATAGTTAAAATCTACAAGTTCGTCCAGAGGAGAAGGATGGACAATTTCCTCCCATGAGATTATCAAGTCTCTGAAAAACCACTGTAAGGTCAGCTACGGGTCAGCACCACATTTTTAAAATAGAACTACACAAAATCAAATAAGACCAAATAATGGCAAATAAGAAGCTAAACAAAAAATGCAAATGCATAATGTTAAGACTAAAATTTCATAAGTAAGTAACATACTAAAGAGAAAAAAATAACAGAACTAAATCAGTAAAACACAGATTTAGTGATCTGGAAGACAAATACCTCCATATTTACAATCAAGAAAAGAAGGAAAGAAAATAAAGAACAAAAAAAAAAGCATATGAAGCACATGTGACACCATCAAAAGGAATAAGTTCTATGTAAATGAAATTTCAGAACAGAAGGGGGGGAAACTGAAGATAGCAAAGAAGTTTTTCTAGAAGAAAACTTCCCAAGTATTACGGGGAAAGGATAAATTATATTCTCAAAAAGTTTATCAAAGTCAATGTAAGATAAATCCAAAATAAAAGCACCAATACATATGTTGTTGGTATTAGATGCCATCAAGTCAACTACAGTTCTCAGTCACTCTATGAAAAACAGCACTGGAACCTCACATTTCCTTGCTACCTTGCACATCCTCGTGATCTCCATGCTTAAACCCACTGCTGCAATCACAACATCAATCAATCCATCTCATTAAAAGTCTTCTCCTCTTTCACTGATCTCTACCTTTTTGTAAAATTTCTTTCTTTCTTTTTTCTTAATTTAATTTTATTATTGATATCAGTAAAAATTTACAGAGACTTTGGATTTCCATTCATTGATTGTTGCACTTTTCCCCCTCCCAACCCTCCCCCCTAGTACACTACCCTCTTGGGAAAGTAAAAGAAAAATTCTTTCATTGTTTTACAAACCCTCCCCCAGGTCCACTTCACTATGTAGCCTTCGCTCTAGACTCCTGTCAGGGCAAAAATACCTGATCACATATCCCTTTTAAACAGTTTTCTCCCTCATCTGTTTCAATGCAGTATACATTATTGAACCCATCTTTCTCAG